TGGTAAGAACTATAATTAATGCAAGTATACGATGATAATCCACTCATTTTTTTAGGTATTATAATTGTAACTAGTACTATTGTGATATTGCAGAATAAGGACAATATTTTGAAAAAAATGTGATGAGGAACAACTTGTATTACTACAAGATAAATCAAAGAGCTTATCATTTGACAACAAAGGAATAGACGAAAGAGTGGTTAAATCCACAGATGATTGCTTTATTGTAGAAGAAGATCGACAATCAATACTGTGCTTGACAACAGACAAAAGTATATTAGAAGAAACGTTAATCGAAGAAGTCAGAAAAAGACCTCCTTTGTATGATTATACATTGCCTTTGTCTGTTCGTGGCAGATACAAACTTGCAGAGTTATGGAAAGAAATTTTTAATGCTCTTAATGGTACCAATTTTCACATAAACCTAAATTATAAAAAAAAATATTGATGTTGGCTGTGATTGAGTCAGCACTACAAATGCTTCAAAGCATTTCTCTTTCTCTTTTTTCCTTGGAATCTCTAAAGCTAAAAGAGAAAACAAATGTTTCAAAGCATTTGTACGCCAATTCGATCGTAGCTATTAAATATTTTTAAAGAATGTTTTTATAAATATTTTAGGTCGTATCAGTCCTGAAGATGCTAAAAAGAGGTGGAAATCACTTAAAGACACGTTTAGTAAAGCAGTGGCTGAAGGAAAAAAACCAAGTGGGTCAGCGAGATCAAATTCACAAAAACCATGGAAACATTTTGAAGCAATGTCCTTTTTACGTTCAGTTTCTACAAGCAGAAAGTATATCACTTTTTACACATGTGTACAACTTTATTTTACATACTTTATTGGAAACATACTTTATTTTACAGCTCCATTTCTAACCTTACGACTCAAAGTATCGAGTCCAACAATCTTTTTGAGAACAGCTTAGACAGCAATGAACAACATGAAAGTAACGAAGGTAGGTTTAATAGTTATACATCTTATCTATTATTTGCTGACTGACCGATTGTATTATAGAAAGTGTTTACGTATTAATGAACAGGCATTATAGATACAGTCAAACAATCTCTTTGCAGATGAGCTTTATGTTAAACCTAGTACTAAACGAGCTAAAATTAACAATGATTTAAGTGCATCAATGAATCGTATAGCTGAAGCATTTTGTAATAAAGAAATGCCTGTTATAAATCTTCCAAAGCCACCTGAAATGGATGCATTGGATGGTATGTTTATTTATATAAAACAAAAATTGCTTAAACTGAATAAAAAAACACAGGATACACTTTTATTAACATTTCTACAAGATATTACTAAGGAAGAACAAAATGAGGGTGAATAATTTGTCATGATATATATTGATAATTGCTATGTTCCTATGTTATTTTTGTTTTCTTGTTCTTGCTTCATTAATATAATTGAAACGTACAATTATTTGTTTGAATTACATTACTCTTTTATTTTGTTATAATATAATTTTTTTGTGTACCTAATAATTTTATAAGATAAATTAAGATGATGTTAGTAACAGTTCTTTTTAACTTCATTTAAAAATATATTGAGACGTTACTTTATATGTATAATTTATTGTCAAATGTTTTATAACGTGTTATTTTTGTATAACATTGATTTCTAATATTTATTATATTTACGAAGCATTGTGTGTTTCTCTTTAGCATAATAACATTATGTTTGGTATTCAATAAACTATTTACGCGTATCGCCCGGTCAATCTACCCGCTCGAATTCGGGTACCCGCACATATATATGTCAGGTCCTTCGTCGTTGCCTTCGGAGGCTTCCGTTGCCGATCGCGACCCATCGTGCGCGGTCCCCGCTAATACGAATCAGAATCGTCTCAGAGACAACGAGAGACACACGTGCGGCCGACTTAACCGCTATTGTATACCATTATACGCTGTATTTCAATTAAAGCATTTATACTTTGTATCTCGAGTGCGGTCACTACCTTCTGAGTTTTTCAATAAATATAAGCAAGTGAGAGAGAAACATTCTCGGTCGTATATTCGTGAAGCACTCATTCCACGACAACATACGACGGGCACACGCCCGATAATTCAACTTACGTACAACCCGTACATTTGGTCCTTCGAGCCGGATTCATCCAAGGAATTCCGCAAGCTCAGTCAAGGTAGTGTCCAACAAACTTCTAGAGGATATAACACAAAGGGCGCAAGCCAAATTAAAAAAGGCCAACGTATTGAGTTACCACGTACGGTATCGGCCTACGGAATTTCCCATACATCGGCAGACGTCCTAACAAAGGAGAGGTCAGGAGCGGCTATTTTACTCGTTGGCGAGTACAACGATTGCCCCGCATTGGCGACAACGGCATAATTCCAACGGACGGGCAATCGAACCAGCAGTCACGGCGATCCTTGTCGGCCATATTCGACAAGACGAACGACGCATCGAGGGCCAAACAGCGCATTGAGACGACGACACCCCCCCTCCTCTCCGCAGGACGACCGACAAAGGATTCCCGAGCGTTCACGCGTTTTCTTTCTTCAATAAGAAATAAATGTAAGGTAAGGGTAGCTATCTAGTGACGAATACCAACCAGATTCGAATAATACGTGTGTCTCAATTCAATTAGTTTTAAAATGTCTAATACAGAAAATCTCGCGGTACTTAAAAGACAACGCGCTATGATCAAGGGATCCTGCACGCGAATAAAACATTACGTCGAGACAATTACTGCTATCAATACCTCGACAACGGCTCAACTTGAGGAGCGCAAATTAAAACTAGAACATTATTGGGCCGAATACCACACTGTACAGACGCAAATAGAAATTTTAGAAGAAGCCGAAGGTAACGATCGGGCTGCGTTCGAGGATGCATTTTATGCCGTATCCGCTAAAATCAGGGAGTTATTAAGCCCTCCCACGCACTCGCGCACTGCCGCTGTTTCGCCGGCAACGCTTTCGGAAATCTCGGACGCAACTTCCCGCGTGCGCTTACCTAAATTGAATTTACCGACATTTTCGGGGAAATATGACGAGTGGTTCCCGTTCTTCGATACATTCACGTCGGTCATACATACAAACGCGTCTCTCAGTTGCATACAAAAGTTTCAATATTTAAAGGCCTCTCTCACAGGCGATGCGAGCAGCGTAATTAATTCTTTAGAGATTTCGGACGCGAATTACAATGCAGCGTGGAATCTTCTCAAAGAGCGGTACGATAACAAACGGGTAATCGTGCAAAATCATATCAAGGCCATTATAGAATTACCTTCCATGACAAGGGAAAATTATACCGAGTTAAGGCAAATCGCGGATGGCGCGACAAAGCACATACACGCGTTGCAAGCTCTAAAGCGACCCACCGCGTATTGGGACGATATTTTAATACACGTGCTATGCTCGAAATTCGATCCCCTCACACTACGCGAGTGGCAATCTTCGCTTACGGGTAACGAATTACCAACATCCAAACAATTCTTCGATTTTATCACACGACAGTGTCAGATGCTCGAAGTCACAAACAAATCTAGCAACGTCGCGAACGTCAAGGACGGCACTGCCAAGGCACACGCCAAGCGTCAAACAGCATGCGCAGCTACCGTCAAGTTAAAATGCAACTACTGTCGAGGGGAGCATTCCATTTATTACTGTAAGAATTTTCTGGTACTTCAGGTTCCTCAAAGGATCGCGGAAATTCGTTCTCGCAAAATTTGCCTCAATTGTCTGCGTTCCAACACGCACATCGCTAGCAAATGCACTTCAGGAGGTTGCAAGGTCTGCCAAGCCAAGCATAACACGCTTCTTCATATGACGACCGCCTCGCAGCAAGCGCCTAATTCCTCTAGCTCTTCAGGAAAGGGCAGCGACAACTCCAACTCCGCAGAATCCTCTGCCGTAGTAGCGACACACGTCGCAGGGGGAAGTGTTAACGTCATATTGTCAATGGCCATGGTGCACGCGCGCGATTATCAGGGCGTGCTTCGACCTTGTCGCATTCTGTTGGATTGTGGTTCTCAGGCGAATTTCATATCAAGGAAATTCATGACGAGGCTTGGCCTCACTCCCAAATCACTAAGCGTAGCCATATCCGGCGTGAACGGAACGGTTACGACGGCCACGCAAGCAGTAAAAATCGAATTGCAATCGCGAATAGATTCATACAGTGCTACAATCGATTGTATTGTCTCAGATCAAGTTACAGAAAAACTCCCTGGCATACCGTTAAGGCGAAGGGATTTCGAACTGCCACGAAATATAAAGCTAGCTGATCCACAATTTCACGTATCTTTTGATATCGACATTCTAATAGGAGCCGAAATATTTTGGGATCTTCTCTTTGTAGGACAGATACAATCATCGGACAGGCATCCTAAATTACAAAAAACGAGGTTTGGATGGATCCTAGCAGGACGAATGTTTGATTCAAAATCAATTCACGCAAAGGTACATTCTCTACACGCATCTATAACTAACGAGCAGTTACATGATCAATTAAGTCGGTTCTGGCAATTAGACGACGCGAAAAATGACTCCAATAATTTGACTCCTGAGGAAAGTTATTGTGAGCAGCATTTTATCAGCAATATTCATCAAAATCCACAAGGCAGATACGTGGTCAAACTTCCTATTAGAGATCAATTAATCGACAAGTTAGGAGACTCTCGAAGCATTGCCATGTCTCGTTTGAAGGGCATCGAAAAACGTTTTAAACGACAGCCCGATCTAGAAGAGCAATACAAACAATTATCAATGAGTACATATCGTTAGGGCACATGCAAAAAATAGAATTGCAGCCCGATGAGAGTTCCCCATGTTTTTATTTACCGCATCATTGCGTATTCAAATCTAACAATCAAACGTCAAAGATCCGCGTAGTATTTGACGCTTCATGCAAATCTACCGAGGGCTTATCTTTAAATGATGCACTTATGATAGGGCCAGTAGTGCAGCAAGAGCTAACATCCATACTGATCCGATTTTGTTTCTTCATTTATGTTTTTAGCGCCGACGTAATAAAAATGTATAGACAAGTATTGGTGGATCCTTCTCAAACACGTCTGCAAAGGATACTATGGCGGGACGACCCTGCTAACAACGTCGACACATACGAACTATTGACAGTTACGTATGGAACATCATCAGCTTCATACTTGGCCAGCAGGTGCCTTACTTATCATGCCGATCAATACGCAGCTAAGTACCCGGTAGGCTCTAGAGAGGTGAAACGCAGTTTTTACGTAGATGACTTTTTGTCAGGAGCAGATACTCTGCACGAGGCTAAGGTACTCCGAGATGAACTAATAGAATTGCTGAGAATAGGATCTTTCGAACTCAGTAAGTGGGCGTCGAATTGCCCAGAACTCCTAAAAAATATAAAGGATCGTGATGGGGAAGTAATTACCATTCATAACGAGACAGATTCTAGCATACTAGGGATTCAATGGAATCAAGTCAAGGATGTTTTTCACTTTGCATACAATTCAGATTCCACTAACAGCGCAGTATCTAAGCGCGTTATTCTTTCTGAAGTTTCCAGGTTGTTTGATCCTCTGGGTCTCCTCGGACCCGTCATTGTAATTGCCAAACTCATTCTTCAAGACCTGTGGAAGGCCGGCATCCATTGGGATGAATCTGTGCCGCAGGAATTACATACAAGCTGGCTAAAATTCAAGTCTCAATTACATGCTGTAAATCAGCTACAAATCCCTAGGGGTGTCAAATACAACCCAGACTCACAGCTCGTGCAATTACACGGGTTTTGTGATGCAAGTCAAAATGCATATGGCGCATGTATATATGTACGCACAACCATCGAATCTAGTGAATATCGTTCACAGTTGCTGTGTTCAAAATCCCGTGTGGCACCACTCAAGGCCGTGTCACTGCCAAGACTTGAACTATCGGCAGCGGTTCTGTTAGCTCAACTCATAACTAAGGTGAAAGACTCATTGGGCTCGCCCATGCAAGCATTTCTTTGGTCGGACTCCACCATAGCATTGAATTGGATAGCTTCATCCTCGCGCAACTGGTCAGTATTCGTGGCAAATAGAGTCGGAGAAATTCAAAGGTTGACTCAGATCAGTCAGTGGCGTCACGTCTCCTCTTCCGACAATCCTGCAGACATACTATCCAGAGGCATATATCCGTATGATTTAATCGCATCATCCATGTGGTGGCACGGGCCCAGCTTTCTACAGTTGCATGAAAATCAGTGGCCATCGGGAAGTTTTACATATCCGAGGGAGGATATGCCCGAACAAAGAAGAATAGCCGCGATTGTCGTCAAGCATGACCAATGCATGGTCATCCAGCTATTAACCAAGCATTCAAGTCTAAACAAAATCCTTCGGATCATTGCGTATTGCATGAGATTTTCTAAGAAACGGAATCTCGCGCCAAATAGAACAATATCTTCGTCTGAACTTTTACTTGCAACGGAAATCGTGTGCAGGGCGGTACAAAAACAAGTCTTCTCTAAAGAATACGAAGCATTAAAATTAGGAACAACCATTAATGCAGGCAGCCGTCTATTGCCGTTAACTCCTTTCATGGATAAAGATGACCTAATCCGGGTGGGCGGTAGGCTTAAAAACTCAAACCTAGATTTTGACGCATGCCATCCCATTTTGCTGCCGCGCAATCACGATTTAACACAAAAAATAATTAGACAAGAGCATATTCGGAATATGCACGCCGGAACGCAAGGTACTATGGCCGCCGTCCGGCAACGTTTCTGGCCACTTTCGCTAAGATCCGTAGCGCGAAAGATCATACAAGAATGCGTAACTTGTTTTAAGGCAAAACCGCGATTCTCGGAAGCCTTAATGGGATCATTACCCGCCGGTCGAGTCACCCCATCTAGACCGTTCGCGCATTGTGGGATAGACTATGCCGGTCCAGTCACAATACGCGAAGGAAACAGGCGCAACTCTCGCAATCATAAGGCCTACATAGCCATTTTCGTATGCTTTGCCACTAAAGCCGCGCACATCGAAGTCGTAAGCAATTTAACGACAGACTGTTTTCTTGGTGCATTCAAACGTTTCATCGCGCGAAGAGGGAAACCGACCCACATGTACTCGGATAATGGGACCACCTTCGTCGGGGCAAAAAAGCAAATCAAGGAACTATACGAATTTTATAACAAACAAGAAACGCAGTCCGATCTCAATCAATTCTGTGCCAACGAGGGCATTTGCTGGGAATTCATTCCGCCCAACGCTCCTCATTTTGGCGGTTTATGGGAAGCGGCGGTAAAATCCGCCAAACATCACTTGACTAGAATTGTGGGTCAAGCCCATTTAAATTTTGAAGAACTGCAGACTGTATTGTCTGAGATAGAAGCTATATTAAATTCGCGCCCTATTACGCCACTAAGCGAGGATCCCAACGACTTGTATTATCTTAGTCCGGGTCACTTTCTGGTTGGTACAGCACTAAATAGTTTTCCTTGCAGAGACTTTAGCGAGATCAATGAGAATAGGCTCCTACGATGGCAACGCGTGGAGCAACTTCGACAGCACTTTTGGCGCAGATGGAGTAGCGAGTACTTAGGCTCGTTGCAGGAAAGGTCGAAATGGAAACAAAATTCGGGCATTCAACTACGCGTCAATCAGCTCGTACTTGTAAAACAACAAAATCTACCCCCTCTACAATGGGCTATAGGTCGCGTCTTAGAGATTCATCCCGGATCCGACAATGTAGTACGAACTGCAACTATAAAAACCACCAAGGGTACTTATGTTAGACCATTGTCGAAGCTCGCGATATTACCCTCAGAAATCCAACCGACGGATAACTAATATACGCAACTAAGATGCAATCTCACGTAATAGTCACGACGCGAATATTTAGCTATTAAGATATATCATAGGAAAATTTATATTCATGTCTTCCTTTCTATAGTAATTTAGTTTAATTTGCAAACAAATATATATTATTATAGTTTATAGGATACTGTAATCACTATTTATAAGAGTACTAAACTCACGAAGTGTTATCAGTCATGGTTTATATTCTGTTGCGTTATTATCTTTATTTTATTGTACTGATAAGTCTTATATGTTTGCCTTGCGGCTCATTCTTTCTTCTATTCATTTTGAAAGCGCATTCTTTCAAGGCGGGCGGCGTTTGTTTGGTATTCAATAAACTATTTACGCGTATCGCCCGGTCAATCTACCCGCTCGAATTCGGGTACCCGCACATATATATGTCAGGTCCTTCGTCGTTGCCTTCGGAGGCTTCCGTTGCCGATCGCGACCCATCGTGCGCGGTCCCCGCTAATACGAATCAGAATCGTCTCAGAGACAACGAGAGACACACGTGCGGCCGACTTAACCGCTATTGTATACCATTATACGCTGTATTTCAATTAAAGCATTTATACTTTGTATCTCGAGTGCGGTCACTACCTTCTGAGTTTTTCAATAAATATAAGCAAGTGAGAGAGAAACATTCTCGGTCGTATATTCGTGAAGCACTCATTCCACGACAACATACGACGGGCACACGCCCGATAATTCAACTTACGTACAACCCGTACACATCAGTTACCGCAATATTACCTTTAGGCTGATTCAAAAGTACAAATGATATAATACATTTACATAATACATTATATAATACATTTACATTTGCTTCATTTGTATATTTGAATGTTTTGCCAACCTACTTCTCCTTCTTCATTGAAATATCTGCAAAATTCTTCTCAAATGTGAGCTGCGCGTAACGAATATGCTCTCGCTTGAGTACATCTTATATCCATAAATCCTTGATAATCGTTAACATTGTTTCTCCAAGAGCCATCTTCAATGTCTCCGTCTAATACAGATCGATCTGCAAGATCCTGTGTTATATACGTTTCTCGCTCAACATCACGCTTTCTCAGCCAATTATGAAGACAAATTATTGCTTGAACCATTTTTATTGCCTTTGAAATGTTCGCTATAATTGGTCGTCTTAGAAGGCGCCATTGATTAGCTAAGATACCGAACACATTTTCGACTGTTCGACGAGCTCGAGATAAACGATAATTGTATATCCGTTTCTCTAATGTCATTCCATTTCTTCCTGGATATGGTCGCATCATATATTCTGTTAAAGGAAATGCCTCGTCTCCTACCAATACATATGGCAAAATTGGACCGTTGTCATATAGTGCTTCAGGAGGTGGAATATTTAATTCTTTTCTTTCTAATAATAAGCCCATAGCACTATTCTTAAAAACGCCTGCATCACCCTGTCTTCCAGGAGCATCAATGTCTACACAGCGTATGATGTAATTTGCATCACTTATTGCGAGTAAAATAATGCTGTGACTGTCTTTATAATTATAATATTCTGATCCTGCGTTGTCAGGACACTGAAATAATATTAAGTAAAATTAAACTGCTTCAGTTTGAGTTATATATATATTCATTTACATATTTTTGTCATTTTAAGAATTACTTGAATAATGACGTGTTTTCCATCAATTGCACCAATACAATGAGGGAATTGCCATTTATTATCAAAGTCATTTGCAATTTCTTTCCAGTCATTTGTGTCACATTGTGCAAGTATAATAGGATATAAACGCTCCCATAAGACAGAACATGTTTCACGTATAATATTTGAAATACTACTTACAGATATTAAAAATTGATATGACAAAGATGTCATACTGTCTCCTGAGGCGAGATATCTATTAATGAGTATAAGAAATATATAATATATACTTTGCTATTTTACATTGTCAGAGAGATTTTTTGTTATCACACATTATTACAATAATATAGTTTAAGTTTACAAGTATACATGCCTTAAAGTAACTAATAAACGTTGCTCTTCATTTATAGGTTCACGCACAACATAAAGTTTCTTTAAATCATGTCCTACTATTAACAACAAATCTTCCAATTATATCGTAGTCATTCTTGTAAAATTTCTAAAACGCAGATCTTCCAGCCTTACATTGGGCAATGTTGCGTGATACAATCCGTGTCTCTGCCTTTCGGCAAATATTTTTGACACCCAGAATTTCCTCTTCTTTTTATTGTTTGCATTTATTATATTGACTATTGCTGGTATCGCTGCAATTAATTCAACTTTTCTTTGTTCGTTATATTCATGATTGATAATGCTATTGCATTCTAACAACCATTGATGATAACGATAATTAATCGACATTTTTTTAATGTTTCGCAATTTAAATGACAGTAATAATCAACTGACTGCTCTAATTGATCCTGCGTTTCAGCATCAAATCACTAGGCATCACTACGCATGCTCATACCTTTCGACGCTCGACGCTCGACGCTCCTATGTAAAGGCACCTTTAGATAACTATTTTAGCATTTGTAAACATTCCGTTTTTTTTACTTCTGCTTTTGTCAATATAAAAAATTTCTATAAAGCCATAATGTGTATTTATTTATGATGAATTTCAAATAATTATCCTTAGATTGGACCAGTATTCTTGCCAGAAAAATTAAATGGTTTAAATTATCTGGACTTTTTGCGTAATGAGTTGCCAAATTTACTTTTTCCTCCCGCTGCTATCGACGATATGCCGCTATTTCGACGTAACATCATTTTTATGCATGATGGATGTCTAGCGTACAATGCAGGTTACAATTATTATAAATTATTAAACATATTTGAAAACATAATTTGTTTTAATAAAAATTTTCAGGTCTCAATTAAATAACAAATTAATGCAAAGTTTAAATTTTTTTAGTACAACTTATAAAGAATTTACAACTATTAGTATTAGTTTGCAATATGTTTTTTATATCATAAAATACTAGCTTCTGAGAGTTTTTAAACTTCTGATTTTTAATAAACACATGACGCTTTGCTATTATTTTAATGTTTGTATTTTCGCAATTTTTTGTTTTAAAGAAGTTTTATTTTATACGGATAAATATTGTTTTTCGTAGATTAAAATTATGTTTGACTAAAAAGTGCATAAAATACCGTAAATCAATGCAATAACAACAATTTTTTATTTATTCAAATATACTTTTCAATCGATTTTTATTTCGCATAAATAATTTTTATATTAATTCAATTTTCTAATTGAAATTTTTTATAAATATCATTAATTACTGGTTCTAAAATTGTTTTAATTAATTATTTAATTTTAATTAATTATTAATTTTATTGTTTTAACTATAACAGCACCTGTCCGAGAATACTTAAATAATACGTATGGAAATAATTGGATGGGTCGTGGAGCACCTTTCTGGCAATGGCCACTAAGATCACCAGATTTGAATCCTTGTGATTTTTTCTTGTGGGGTGCGCAGAAAGAAAAAATTTATTTTAACCGCATAGAAACGCAAGACGAATTAGAAGAACGAATACGAAGAGCGTTTGCTACCGTACAGCGCGGGCCAGAATCCCGAAAACGTGGCCAAAAGTAAAAAAAAAATTTTTGATTTTATGAAATGTGACTATTGGATTTTGTAGAGGACTGTACCCCCCACCTCATGCTGAAATACCAAAGATCACATTTCTGTACATAAAACTCTAGCTCAGTTCAAAGTTGACCTTCGCACTGAACAGTTGTGGCAGTCGCAGTTAACCGAAATTTCACCGCTCTGGTCTAACGTTAATATTTCAAGGATAAAGTGTTCAAATTAAATCGTGCAAAATGGATTGTGTTCCTGGTGGTATGTACAACAAAACAAAACGATAATATTATATAAATATGTGTTACATATGTTGTTTTTTTAAAATCGAACTTTGGTCTGTACAATACAATGTATTTTGGAGAAATTAAATTTTCACCGAACGAAATAGTTATGTATACCACCGCATTCCAAGGTCGGATTGGTAAAATCTTTTAAATTAAACCTTCCTCTTTCGAATCGTGCAATTTCTAGCTGCCCGTAGCTGCCCGTGTAAAAATGCGATAAAGTTTTGTAAAGCGTTACGCGTTATTTGTTTCGGTATCGAATGCTGTGCCAAGCATTTTAATATAGGTGAATCGCGCCGTACATTTTCTGTCCGTTAAAATTTTTGTTCCAAGGGTCTGCTATTATCTCGCATTGTGTCTAAGGCTTTAGATTCTCCAGAAAGTACAGTACCATCCAAAAGTTTAGTAGAAATACAACTATTTTTCTGCCACATACATTTCTTTATAATTTGTAACTACAAATGCTATTATATTACCATTCGTTTTTATAGTATTACAATAATTTATAACAATATTAATTTATAATTATATAAATAAAATTAGATAAGTCAAAGGCAAGAGCCACCATTCACAAATTGTTTGCAAAAAAGGAAAAAAAACGAAAATTTAATATGTAATTACATTATACAATACAAACAAATTTAATATGTAATTCCATTATATTATACAAATTGATCGCCTATTATAATTACAAAATAATCGCTTATCATTAATCTAGTATAAATACGAAATATATATATTATCGTGGTTAGTGGTGATTTTATGTGTAGATATTACCAAAGGCAGCCCAGATCTTTTATTAACATCAGATCGGTGTTCTTTAATTTGTCCCACATACGAAACATCACAATCATTACAATTTATTTTATAAACATCACAATTATTACAATTTATTTTATATCTACTGAAGATGATCCGAAAAAAGGATCGAAACGTTTAAAAGAATGATTAATATTTTTACTAATTAATTTGTTGTAGATAATATATATATTTTGTATTTATACTAAATTAATGATAAGCGATTATTTTGTAATTATAATAGACGATCAAATTGTGTAATATAATAGAATTACATATTAAATTTGTTTGTATTGTATAATGTAATTACATATAAAATTTTCG